CTCTCTTTTTCTTTCCCTCCCACACGCACCCACCGTCACACACAGTCACTCTAATTATGGCTGTCATTCTGTTTGCCAGGGAGGGTGATGTCATTGCCAGTGGCAGGCCAGCAGTGCTGGGACAGTGATGATTTGGGACATTTGTGTAACAGCCTGAGTCGAACACTAGGGGGCCACGTTTACATTTACACAAAGAGTAGGACCTCAATTATTGCTATATCATCCTACTGTCCTTGGGGAGCACAGCCTTCACAGGCCTGCCTAAAAAAATGGGTAAATCTGCGTGTAAGTAGTGAAAACATGCAAGTCATCATCATCATCATCATCATCATCATCTAATAATAATAATAATAATAATAATAATATTAAACAACATGATGATGATTAATAAAAACAAAGACAAAACAACAACAACAATACTAATACTAATACTAATACTACTAATAATAAAGATAAATTATTGAATAAAATACTTGTCATGTGACCAACAGAGTTTTTTTAACCAATGGTAGCTATTTTGAGGTGTTCTGGAAATGTGCTCAAATCATTTGTATTACTTATAATAATACACATTGTAGGTGTTTAATATATATATCTAAAAAATATTAAAAAAAACAAAAATAAAAACTATATATATATATATATATATATATATATATATATATATATATATATATATATATATAGCATTCACAATAAACGGACCAACAGAAACACACTTGAATTAAAAGCTCCTTACATTTAAAGTTAAGAACATTTTGCCTCGTCCTGTAAAGTTACCATTTTGGAGATACATGTTTTTGGACAGGGATGTATTTGTTTCAGGTAATCTGTCCATCCTAATAAGCCCTTCATTGCTGAAATATAAACAGCTGAAGTAGTATAAGTGCGCACATCTTTAGAACAATACAAGCCAATTAAACGTGTTCTAATATGCAGATCTACCTTGTTCATCCGCATAGTGTTTGGCACCCCCTACAGGACAGCCTCTGTAATAGCATTAGAACGGAAATAAGGCCAGAGACGTGTTCTTTTGTTCTAGATGTAGGGTGTGTCAGACGAAGCAGCTGTCATCTGTCAGTCTTTTTGCTTTTGGCCGTCTGTGTCTAAGGCTCAGCTGACCTTTATACGCAGGTACAGCTGCGGCTCAGACGATCGGGCAGGCAGCCTGAGGCCCAGTGACCCACAGTGACTGTCTGTTCGTAAGGACAGTCCTGTTCTTCCTTCTGACTCTCAAACATCATTCCTGTGGTGAAACTTCGGCTGCCACGCGTTGTGTAGAAGGATCACGAATATGGTTGGACATTCCTGTGGCCTTTGCATAGTTGTACTGATGACCAAAGAAAACCTAATGAAAACTAGAATTATGCAGGGAATCTTACTAAAGGATCAACATTTTCATTAAAGGCGTTTCTGGAACTGCACAGGATTCTAGGACGCACAGCAGGCTGTAGTCAGCTACTTTCTATATAGATATCGATTTGCCTTCAGTCCAGCTCTCCGTTTTGCTGCAGCGATTGACCACCTCCAGCACCTCTGCCACACCCTTCTGTCTCAAATCAGGGCGCCATTTTTGTCCTTTTTCTTGATATTCCCTTTCTCCACCAGCAGAGGGAAACAGAAGCTCGACTGTAAGATGAGGCCAAAGGCTGAGGGAGGCTTCATGATTGTGAAGGTTTCATTTCCCTGAGCTTCTATTGTTCTCTTCTATAAGGAGACTGTAAACACACTATACTGATTATGACTAAAATTTATAAGTTAATAAGTTAAATTTATAACTAAATCAGAATTGGGATTCTAAGTGTGAATACAGATGTCATTTTAAGGAGGTTTTTTATGGTAACTTTGATGAAGACAAGCTTTATCTCTGGAAGACTTAAGTTCTGAAGTTCTGCAGTTTTGTGAAGATGCCTTAAGAGCTTGAGAACACATTCTTGAGTCATCTCTCGGGGTGAAAATAGGCAGCTTTGCTCAAAAGTTTCAAATTAAAATAAAACTCCAAACACCAGGATTGGCAGGAAAGGGCATGATTAATTTATTAAGATTAAGGCTTTCCAACAAACAAGTGTTAATCTGAGTTGGCCCAGGCAACAACTGACCAACCCACAAAAACCCATAATTTTACACTCTTTTCTGGGCAAGGAGGGCTCATCACCTGACTACTCATTGCCCCTCCCAAATATTTCATATCTTTTGATTTTCACACCATTATTTCCAAACCTTGGAACACAATTAATAATTATCTATAATATTATTATTAATATTATATAATAATAATAATAATAATATAATGAATAATATCTTCACTTATTATTAATACTCATTATTAATGCCATCATTTTTCTTATCTAAAATTCTACCATTATTTTAAAACCAAGAAGTAACTTAAATAATTACAGGCCAAGGCCACAATCAGTAAATAAGTATAAGTAAATTTTAATTACTTCATGTATCACTTTAATTCAATATGGTTACAACTAAGTCTCTCTACATATGTGCTTTTCTCCTTCAAAAGACATTTTTATATGAAATGAACAGGTTCTTCTCTGTGTGTGTGCCTCCCCCACTTGGGACACGCCACTGCAATTTGCAACACACTCAGGGTCACCCACAGGTGCACACACACACACACACACACACACACACACACACACACACACAGGGAGAAAGCTGCACATGAATTTAAAATGATTAGTGATGATTAAAATAATTTATTACTTTTAATTAGCCTGAAGAATCTTTCATGTTATCTATAATTTTTCCACACATCATTTTGGGGAAGAGTTTCAGGAAAAGAATTTAGATCTGGAAATGTTTGGTTTTGACACACCTTGCTCTAGTAACTGCAGGTCAGTAGGTTACTAGGACCAGGGACAGGAACCGACAGATGTTTAAACTATCAGGTGTATTAGGTTAGTTTTTCCCCTTTAGCCTTCTGTCTTTAAAGCTGACCATCTCCAGCCTCTTTGTTCAGCCTTATTAACTCTATAATGGAAGAGATACTACTTAACTACATTATCTGTATCTTTAAGGGTTACTGTGGAGCAGTCATTCTTAATCCTGGTACTACTATGCTGCACATTTTAGATCCCCTGCTCCCAGCACACCTGATGCAACTAATGATCTAATTTACAAGCCCTTCCCAAGGTGAACTGGGTGTATTAGAGTAGGGAAAATGCTACAGCATTCAGGGCAGTAGTTCCAGGATTGAGATCCACTGCTCTAGAGCATCCTTATCCACGAAGGACCGGTGTGGGTACAGATTTACAAGCAGGAGTACTCCTGGTTCCACTTGTTTAATCAGTTGTTGTCAGTCTTCAAACAACTGATTAGGTATAGAAGGTGTGCTCATGCTTGGGTGGAATGAATACCTGCAGCCACACTAGCCCTTTGCGGGTAAGAGCAGTGGACAGTAACCCTCCTCCTGGACACATGCAGACCACTTTTGTGAAGAGTTTGGTTTCAATCTGCACCTAACACTGATGCTTCTGATCCAGCCAGTAAAGGACTTCTGAAGATGTTTTTTTAGCTGGAGCGGGTGTGGCAGACTGTGGTTGGAACTAGACTCCGCAGGAAGGCAGATCTCCAGGACCAGCGTTGGTGACAGTCCCCCAGCTTTTGCCTTCCAAAGTGTGAGCTGCTTAGGTACAAGAGGACCATTTGAGAGAAGCTCTACGTTCACTTTCATTCATGGATTTCTGTCCAAAAATAAAGCCACACCTGAGCCGTTTTAGATCACTTTATGGCCCTGTCCTCCTCTAAAGAGACCGGACTCTGTCATTTGATCCACAGGCTGGTCAGTCACTTCATGACTTCAGAATAAACGTTTATCCATGACAGTGTGATAAAGCTGTGACTCAAAAGACTATATACTGATCAGCTATAATATTAAAACCACCTCTGTTTCTACACTCATTGTCCATTTGATCAGCTCCACTTACCATATAGATGCAGTTTGTAGCTCTACAATTAGACTGTAGTCCATCTGTTTCTCTGCTTACTTTGTAGTCCCCTTGTACCCTGTTCTTCAATGGTCAGGACCACCACAGAGCAGGTATTATTTGGGTGGCGGATCATTCTCAGCACTGCAGTAACACTGATGTGGTGGTGGTGTGTTAGTGTGTGTTGTGCTGGTATGAGTGGATCAGACACAGCAGTGCTGCTGGAGTTTTTAAACACCTCATTGTCACTGCTAGACTGAGAATAGTCCACCAATCAAAAATAACCACCCAACAGTGTCCTGTGACCACTGATGAAGGACTAGAGGATGATTAACACAAACTGGGCAGCAACAGATGAGCTACTGTCCCTGACTTTACATCTACAAGGTGGACCAACAAGGCAGGAGTGTCTAATCAAGTGAAGAATGAGTGGGCAGTGTTTAAAATCTCCAGTGGGTATGCGGAGCAAAGGATGGACTGCAGTCCATAATTGTAGAACTACAAAGTGCACATATATAGTAAGTGGAGCTTAAAATACAATACACATAGAAGCAAGGAGGTAGTTTTAATGTTTTGGCTAATTGGTGTATACTGTCAATGATTGGTGACCACTGCTCTAGAGTCTCTTAAGACTGATTATCTGGGTTTTTGGTTCCAAAAGGGAATATTTTGGGGATCTTGTGGAATCCTGGTGGGTTGAAGGACAAACTGCTCTACTGCCATGTCTGGCAGCTCCTGGAACAACACAGCATCCGCATCCGTGCCACCTGTTCCTGGCACGGTAGTGCCTACGTGTGGCATTGCAAGCTGAAAGTGGGCGCCATTCTTATGTATATATCGCCACTTTGAGCTATTAGACTAAAATTAGACTAAATTAGACCTATCAGTCCATTAAGTATGTTCTATTTCAATCCAATTCATTTTTCCTTCTTTGTCAGAATGGCATATGTAGTCATAGAATCTGAATGGCAAAATTTCAGTTATTTTTTGTTAGATACAACGAGAATGGACTAAAAGGTGGCTAAATGTGCCACTTATAAGAAAAGAACATAGACAATATACATTTAAGAACATTTATTTCCGCATTCAGTAATGAGTACATTTTAAGTGCAAATAGTTAAGAGTCCATGGCTAAGAAGAACTACACTCAACATAGTACAAAGATGGACAGAATCACCAAGCTGGCATTCGTTCGCTTTACGCTTCCTCCTCCTCCGTCTCTCTTGTTCGTGTGCATTTTACTTAAAAGAAGACTGACAACAGTACCTAAAACCATGAGTCTCTGAAATTCCTGTAACGAGTTATATATATATATATGTAAAAAAAAAAGAAACACACTACAAGTTAGTTTACCATACCTATTCAGAACATTGCTAAATATTTGCTCTTGTGCCACACAAAGAAGGTAAACCTCAGCAGGTCCACGCATCTAGCTGTTATTTAAGTAATATTGAAGTTTATATGTTTTCAGGTATATTGAGAGAAGAGAAGCCCCACCCGACGCCCCAGAGACAAAAAAGCTGCTTTTTTGACTTTTCTTGAAGAAGAAGAGACTATCACAGGAGAGCACTAAAGCTGAAGAGATCCTTTACACACTACAGAGAAACGTCTTCAGCATAGCTGAGAAAGCCAAGAACAAAGAAAACCAGAGGAAAAGAAGAAATGCATCAGCACTTAAGACTCTTGACTTCATGCACTTAATAAGCAACACAAAAAACACATTTTTTTTGTCTTTTTTTTGTTTGTTTTTTTGTTTCAACTTGTTCCTATATTTCATTGATTGTTTTTCTCACTAGAGCTTAGTGCTTGAGTGACAATGCGTTTTGCTTTTTTTTTCCTCTACGGTTACTGGGCAAGGGTGGGACTTCTGAACGGCTTGGCTGTTGCTCTAGACACCACAGTGTGCACAAAGTAGAACTATGCTCCAGTAACTTGTACATTTGCATGTGTATATGTGTGTGTGTGTGTGTGTGTGTGTGTGTGTTGGGGAACCCTCAGACCAACAGTAAGCTCTCCCTGTAATAAAGGAAGGGCTGGTCAGGGCCTCCTAGCGTTCTCCAGCTGCCCTTTAGGCTTTACTCAGCCTTTCGCTTGGCCCCGGGAATCTTCTCCTGGATCCTGTGGAATGCAACACACATGCACACCGTAAGATACAATGACCTTATGTAAGATATGCAAGATAAATATTTCTGGATGAATGTAATGACACAAGCAGAAAGAGCTGACAAGACTTACTTTCCCACTACTGAGTTTACTTGATTTCTTATTAGGCCCAAATACTGGTCAATCTGTGCCTAGACAAGAGAGAGGAAGATAAGGTTGATCTAGACAAGACAACCTAGAGGAACACCTGCAGTAAGAGGGGATGGGGTGGGGATATCGTTGTGTTTTTCTGAACACTGCACACAGTGTTTTTTAATGCCACATCTGGCTGGGCTTCTCCTTCTGACGCACAGCACTTTGTTCACAACAGATGTGCTTTTTGTTGTAGTTTACACCTACACATCATACAAAACCATGGTTTGTGGTTGGCCATTTTGCATGTAAGTTCAATGGACCCTTCCTGTCAGTAAGATAAAACCACAAAATGCACTAGACTTTTTGATGACAGGCTTGCAAGAGTAACAACCAATATGCCTTTCTATACATCTAATTGGTCAGGACAGCAAAAATGTTCATGGCATAGACCACTTGACTGCTTTGAGGTGAACTTTATTCTAACTAAGGTCATCTGGAGTGCCCTGCACAAAACCACAGAAAAGATCACAGTGTGATCCCCTTCTTTATATGGTGTAGTAATATCTGCCTCTTACCTGGTATTTCTCATAGACCACGGGCATGGAAAACATGGACACCACAGCTATTGAAAAGGATTGAAAATGTTCAGTTACACTAATAAATAATGCTGGCTTTTGTTAAGTGAATTAAAGTGAATATGAGTTGAGGTCTCACCCATGATGAGCAGAGTGAGGCCATTGAAGAGTGCTCCTACATAGGTCAACAGCCACATGAGCACTGCAAACTGAGCAATAAAAAAAATAATGTTAGCTAGTGCAAGCAGTGGACTCTCACTTTCCTGATGAGCATTCCTTCATACTGTTGATCTTCTCAGAGTAGACACTTATGGGCTAAGTATGGTTACCTTTAGTGAATCCACCAGGTCCTGCACAAGAAACAGTCGGCGAAGCTCCTTCAGAGTGCTGTTAATGTAGTGCTGGGTGTTCTCTGCATACTTCTGCATCTGATCATGGGACAGTGAAATCTCCATCTCCAGATATGACCTGCACAGGCACAAAAACAGTGTTTTCAATAGTACAAAAATGTATTGCAGATCAATGTATGAAATGATTCTAATATGAGGTTTAACCCATGTTAGGTTGTGCCCCATAATCCCCATATATGCAGACGTATGCCTAAGTGAGCTTACTTAAAGGGGTGTCCCTCATCAGTCTTCTGCACAGCCTGAAGCACAGACTTGTAGACTCTGAAGCTGATGGTGGCAGAGAGGGCAGCTAGGGCCAGGTAGGCTACTACACTGACCACACTGAACTGAGTCAGAGAGAAGAGCAACAGCAACACACTTCCAAACACCAATCCCGTCTGCTTCAGGTCTCGCCAGTACAACAGCGCCATCGCTACAGAGAGCGAGAGAGAGAGAGTAAGAGAGAAGGAGAGAGTGCGTACGTAAGTAAATCAGTGAATCAGCAACTTGCAAGCCCCCCAAAACTATAAGCGAATAAGCTCCATTGCTACACAGAGCAAGAGAGGGAAAGTAATCTCTACTGAATTTCCACAAATACTTCAGAATGACTCATATTATTTCTAGCAATTACATAATGTTTTGCCTGTCAGGTTCTTTACTGTAAGTCTTGTCTCATATTTGAGTCATGACAGCTCTCACTCTGCTGATTTAGATCAGTGGTCGTCAACCTCCTTCTGGATATCTATAACCTTACAGCTTTCACCTCTATCCTAACTCTTACACCCTTGATTCAGCGAATCAAGCTCTGTAGACAATAATTTGATGGATCAGGGTGGATTAGGCTTGTAGACTCTGCAGCCGAACAGGACGGTGGTAGATGTCAAGTAAAAAGGATGATAGCCTCAACCTCAGATGCTCTGTCCACAGATCTAAGATGGTCATAACTATCAGTTTCGTCAGTTACATTTTGATTGGCTATTAGCGTCAATACATATAGAATCATCATGTTTGTTTTATTTGAACTCACCAGGTATTGTCTTGATGCTCATATGTCATTGTTAACCCTTTAAAATCCCAGGCTTATGACATACTAAAGCTTATTATTCAGTAACTTTTTAGACTACAATGTAAACTAGCTGACTTATTCTTGGGTTATAGGAGTGTGCAGTAAACCTTTGGGCCTGTTGGTGGGCCTTGGCCATTTAAGGGGCTAATTTATAGCTGGAAACAATTGAGTTAAAATCTTGAAACACTGAATGGAAAATAGTCCAATTAGAATTTTTTCTCTGTGGTATCTAGTAAATACAGCCATGCAAGCGGTCCCATTGGTTAGGCCTTCAGGAGCTGAACTAAAGGCCTTACACATTAGATTAACCTCCAACACAATTAGGAACTGTCAGTGAAATCTACCAATCATGTTTTGATTTGCAAGAGGTGGCACTAAAGGCCTATTTATACCAAGTATTTTTTTTTTTTTTGCGATTTTGAACTAGTGGGACCTTCACACAAAGGCCTTTTCTTTAAACACAGGAAGAAGATGTTAAAGGAGGAGGAAATTACTTTGGGTAGTATCAACCAAGAAACATTTTTCTTTTGAGCAGCAACTAAGGTTCACGTGCTGAGTACAGTCCGATCCAAAAAAAAAAACATGGGGAGCTCCACTGCCTATTTCAAGATCTAAAGCTGTATTATGAGAGATTCCAAAGGTATTTTTGAATGTCAGTGGGGGAATTTATTGCACTGCTTCTACTCACTGCTCCTCTTATTAAAAGGGAGCAAACAAAGTACAGGGAGCCTTGTACGAAGTACATTTTCTTGGACTGCAACCATGACAATAGATGTCCTGATTGTTTAGCCCGATTTTTAACGCATCCGTACAATGCACCAAATTGCACATTTTCACAGCATTGCAGTCAATCAGTTTTGCCATTAATATGCATGCATTTAACTGAAAATCTCAACAGAAATTAGAACTATTGTAAACGTGTTTTTTGACCCAGTTTTAATTTCATGGTCTAAAATGAAGGCCTTGCTCTGAAAGTCACAGTTCACCACTAATGCATCAGAAAAAAAAAACCTTTACAAGCACTTGACTTCTCTGCAACAACAATGAGCCTTTACAATGAGAATGAAAAAAATATGACAGCATCACTCTTTAAATGTTATTCAAGAGTTTTCTTTGAAGCTTCTAGTAGCTAGTGAGATATCATCACAGATTTGCTGACATATACTGCTTCATTTTTACATTTTAAAGTTTTGTTGACAATCACCCTACATCACGCAAAAATAGCAGTTTGTGGTTGGTCATGTCACGCATCAATAAAAAATGGCCCATTCCTGTCAGAACAGGCATCTTTTGGCCACATTTAGCAGTAAAACCCGACAGACTCTGTCTGGCTTGCGTGACTACGGCTGGCAATCCCTAATCTAAATCATCTTTTGAGTCAGTTCTGCCATGACTTGACCATAAAACAGGAACTGCAGTAAAGAAACTGACAGTTTATGTATGTGCTACAAATAATATGAGTCAGTCTGGAGAATATGTTAAAATCCAAGCAGGGGGTAACTTTTTTATTTTCACCCTACTTCTCCATCTGTCTCTCCATTTTGTTTATCGCTCTCCCTCTCTTTGGCCTCTGCACATATTCCTCAGTCTCCCTTGGAGGAGCCTAATCCTCACCCAAGGGCAGCACGGTGGCCATGGCAACAGACTGGCACCAGGTACTCAGAACTGAAAGCTACCATGATTTAATTTGTGCAGTCCTATACGCCAAAAGTATAAAGATGCCTCTCTTTATTGTGAACCAAAATAAAATTCTCTATGTATTGTCAAAAATCCAAAAAATAGGTGTTCTTTTTTTATTGGCTGGGCAACTGTGAAAGTCATATTTGTAAATGTATCGGATTTCGGTGAAGTAATCAAATCAAATTGTGGTGAAATTTGAGATTTCATGATGCACTGAGCAATTTCCCAAAGAATCGTCATTCCTTTTGAGTTATGTTTCTGCTATGCCCTTTGGGTTGTGACATCATGCCTCAAAAAATGATACAGAAATCTCATGTTTGATATCATAGCACAAAGTTTCCAAATTAGACAGGCCTTTAAAGAAACTGAGGAGCGTAGATTAATAGAAAAAGCCAGCAATGTGGAGAGAAGGACCACGCCTTAACACACAGCACATTAATAGCTCCCCATATGGGCCTCACTTTGTTGTATCCCACTCCCATCCCAGTGTGCTCCCTTTTTCTTTGTTACTATTATGTCATCATGCAGCCTAAAGAACAAATCTGCCTATAGAGTAGAAACCGTGAAAATAGCATCCTATCAAAAATTCACCACATCATAATCAATACTCTGGTCAATAATGATCCATTAGTACTGATAACTATTTAGGCGCAGTAATGATTAAATCACAGCCACTGACCACACATTTCATATTCATTATCTACACACAGATCTGTGCCAATTTTCTGTCTCTTCTAGCCAGCTGAAAACTGGAGCATTATTTTGGGCGATGCTAAGCTACCGGCTAATACAGCTAATGCTCCAGAAACCTCCACAATGGCACCACCTGGGTTTGCACAAGCTTGTCGGGGTCCTTTGTGAGTATGTAACAACAGGGTGTGGTCAAGACCCCATTTTGCATTATGAACACAGACCTAGAGTATTTATTATGTATACAGGATGGGTTATTTTAGCCAATAATGACCTGAAACATGTTTCATTACAATTCATAAACATACACCCATGCACGTGACGTTCAGCTCATACTGTGCATGTCCGTCTTGTAGTACAATGCATGATGCACTGGGAGACAAATGCACATACATGTCAAAACCCATACATCCTCAATCCCAAACACCAATGGTTCTCCAATGTTCACAGCATTTCCCATAATTTCGCATTAAAGTGTGCATGGTAAAAATGTGCTGGTGAGGAGCCTCTCCTCTGAATGGCGCTCCGTCGCCACGGAAACGGGGGGAGGTGGGTGCAGTGGAGTGAGCGCTGATGCAGTTGCCATAGTGACCGCACTCCATCCCTCTCTCTCTCTCTCTCTCTGTCTCTCTCTCAGTCACACAGAAAGATCTGCCTGCCAGACGGAGTAACGAGGTGCTGATGAAGTGAGGGGGAAGGGAAGGATCAGGCAGAATGGAGGATAGAGAAGGGAAGCACAGGGATAGGGAACGAGGGCTGCCTTGACAAGCTAACATGCTAATGCAGCTCCCAATCAGTCAGACAGGGTGGCATCACTAAAACTCTCTTAGGGCATCACAACCACTGACAGTAAAGCTCCGAACTGTCAAAACCTGAACACAGAATTAGCTTATTACAGCTAATCTAGAGCAATTAAAAATGCCCCACATGAAAGACGAAAAGCATTAGTATGTATCCTGGTGCTGACGCTAATGAGGTGCTAAAGGACACAAAAGGTGAAGCAATTATAAAAAATGAGAGCTAAAGGCGAAGCTTTAAAGACTTCAACATTACACAACATAATAACCACAGAATAGAATATATGCATCCTCAGAAAACGTAATAAACTCTCAGCATCTCACATACGATAAAACTATGCAGGAAACAAGATCAGGACACACTGGTCTTTTGTATTAAAGTCTTTCCATGCTTATTCATAAAAACACACAACAATATGCACTAAAATTTCTCTAAATGCTCAGTTGACAGAACATTAAACTCTAGTCCGTTTGAAGCAGTTTAAACAGAAACTGTCCACATATGCTTCTATATATCATAACAGCTATCAGTACTGCAACTTGGAATCATAGCTGGAAGAGAGGACTGCACGCATGCATGCTATACACCTGATCTTCCACTAAAAACATTTCTAACTTTCTGTGTGTTGCTGTTCATGAAGCCAAATAAGTAGAGCACAGACAAATATCCTCATTTATGTTGCCAAATGGCAACAGCATAAACAATGGAACTGCAATTTGCAATGCATTCAGTGGGAGTAAACCAATACACTGCCACTGAACATTGCCTTATTCATTGTTCCAGCCATGTATATAACAACCATATATGCATAAACAGTTTAAGAATACAGAAAAGTATTTAAAATAATTCTATAGAAAACAAATATGTAAAATAACATACAATAATGCCTGTATAGTTGCAGAAATGACATATTGCAGTTTCATTGTTGCATGATGTTGCCAGATGGCAAAAATTATGGTTGATCAGTTTATATAAAACTGACATCTAAACTAGCTCACTGATGAAAAAAAAAAAATTGTAACTTAGCAGAGACTGTGTTTAAATCTTTTTCTTGAAATAGTTGTGTATAAACACGGAACTAGGCATACATACATTTTAAGACTACTTCAGACACTAAACCTCACCAAATGATGTGCGTATGAAAAAAAGAAGCACAGACTGCAACAGAGAGATATATGGCCAAAAAAATAAAGTATAGT